TGACCAGATGAACAAAAGTCCTGGACACTTTCTATATAACTTTCGTCCTCTCTCCAGGTTCACAGGGTTTCCAGATGCAAGCTATTACGGAATTGGATGCCACTCCTGCTTCCAAGCTTGTTTTAATCAGGGAGCTCCACCAAACACTGTCCACCATGGGTAATCATTCTTGCATTTGACTCATCAGTGTCACAGTGTTTGGCTTCACAGCAACCACGAGTTATCTCTGTACAGCAAAGGACATACCAGGGTTACACGACATAGAAGAATGTTTCACCAAAAGCAATTAAAGGCAGGTCTGAGGGCCGCAGAGTAGAGTCACCCACCTTTGGCTCCTGTAATAATCTTATTGTCTCTGACACACACACACCCCGATTACCCCAGTCACTGAATCAATCCATCTCATTGAGGGTCTTCCTCTCTTGTGCTGTCCCTCCACCCTCCCAAAGATGGCATCCCTTTCCAAGGACTGGTTCCACCTTCAACATTAAAAGAAACACACACACACACACACACACACACACACACACACACACACCCCACCACACAACAAAAACAACAAACACAGACCTGTCAAGGAAATAGTGTCTTTTCAAGGGAATACGCTTCTTTGACAGGGGAGTCCTTGTGGTTCATTGATGGTTGGGAAAAGAGACTTTTGTGGAGGTGATAGCAGAACCTACTGAAGACAATGGACTTTTGACACTTCTTCAGGATTATAATTGTGTTTTTTGAAACTCCAGCTCACATATCTTGAGTACATGGCCAGGTGGGGAGGTTTCAGTTGACTTAAAATGTCTACAGAACACAACCACCTTTTTTTTTATTGGGAAAAACATATTGGGGGTACAAGGAGGTGGGAGTTGGGGGCAGAAGGGTAAGGATGGGCCAGAATGCAGTTGCAGAGCTGCACAGTTTGGTCGGTGGGGGGAGCAGGTGAAGGAAATAATGAGGGTCCAGAGGGGACCAGATCCTACAGAGGAATGACAAGCATTTTCCAATGGTAATTAAGCCAACTGTCTTATGGATTT